ATGCACTTTGTGGGTTCATCATTAAAACCTCACTCAACTTCTACATCTGATGTCACTTTCTCCCATGGGGATATTGCTACGATTACATGCCTTGACGACGACCTTATGGTCATCAGTGCATAAATTTGTAGTTAGGGTGTCTGGCGACTACTCATAAACCCAGAAATTTCAATTGTCTTCCTCTAATAGGACGCATTTGAAAGAAACTAGCTAGATCCAAAGCATTTCATCCCTATAAAGGCTCCTTGGAGGGTTTCTCAAGACAATAGATACAAGTCAGAGGATATATCATTATTAGAACAACATTGAGACTGGGGGAGAACACCAAGACCATGAAACTAATATACATTGTTGTAAATTCTTCTTCCTCGTACAATATAATCTCTGTTCACCTCGTGTTTAACGTCCTAGAAGCACTTTTATCCACACTTTACATAACCATGAAATACCCTTTAGATAATGGACACATAGAAGTTATGAAGTGAGATCAATAATTAGCCAATAAGTATTACCAAGACAATCTCAAAATTAAAAAGATGACAATGGATGCCAACCTACTACCAAGACTAAATGCACATTATGTCAACTTGGTTGATCTAGACCCAAGGGATGAGTATTTGGAAGATAGAATAGTCCCTACGGAGAGCCTTAAATAATTTCAAATCAACCTTTATAGTTTCCAGACTACAAATTTGGAAACCTTTATGTCAGAAGATGAAGAAGATGAACTAATCCATCGACTTCTGATGAATGTTGTTTTTTTATCCTAGAGCCCCTCAAATAAGCAACAATAGATGATGATAACGTCAATCATCGTCTCACCCTTAACGCCATTATTAGGACATAAGAGAATAGAGGTGGATAGTAATTAAGAAGAAGTAAATAAGTTGAAAAATGCAAGGTACATAACTGAGATCAAGTATCCCATACAGTTATCAAACATGGTGATGGTGAAAAAGTCATCGGTGAATAGAGAATGTACATAGATTTCACAATCCTCAATATTGCATGTCTAAGGATCAACATCATTTAGCTTCATGATATTTCTTCAGGTTACAACCAGGTCAAGATGAGAACACGGGATTGAGAATATGGGATGCACCCAAAACTACTTTCATGACTAAAAATGTATTAATAAATCTTGCACCATATATCAGAGATTGATGGAGGGAAATTTTAGAAAAATTGATAGTGACGTGAAAATCACGTCGCTACATTAAAGTTAAAAAAAAATTTAAAAAAAAATAGTTTTTCACCGCAGGGGGTGGGGTGGGGGTTTGAATTTTTTGAAAAATTTAGTAGTGTCGTGGAATTCACATTGCTACTTAAAGATATTGGGAAATGAAATCTGACTGACACACAAAATATTGTGTCATGAAATTCACGATGGTAAATTTGACGGACATAATTCTGTATTGTAAAATTCACGACAATAAATTTGCTATGTATTTTCTAGATCAGTTTTACTTCATTATTCCATAATCATTTCCTCCTCTTCTATTATTTTCTCCTCTCCCTCACCATTTATCTTCCTCCCCTCAACAATCCAAACCCTTTCTCTTTTCAATTTTTCTACCTTCCCTTATCAATTTTATTAAACTCCCAACCTCAAAACTCAAAGTTAAAATTTTTTATTTTATTTTGTTTAATATTTTTACAGTTTTGTATTTTCTCTTATCTCATTTTTTTTTTTGATGAAGTAATCAAGAAGTAAATCATAGCTAAGGCTTAAGAAGGTATTCAAAAATTTGATCTAAACAATTTCTTCAATTAAGGTATGTTTTATTTTTTATTTTTAAATTTACAAATATATTGAGTTGTGGTCTAATTTTTTTCTCATATATATATATATATATATAGGTTTAATAATTTTTTATTTTAAAAATCAGAAACTAATTTGGAAATAGATTTAATATAGTTTAAAAAATAGGAAAAAATGTTTCGTGAATATCACGCCACAAATTTGTGACGTATTTTTTACGTGGTTGATTTGCTTTGTGACGTAATTTTCATGTGATTGATTTGCTTTGTGACGTAATTTTTGTGTTAATATATATATATATATATATATATATATATATATATATATATATATATATATATATATATATATATATATATATATATATATATATATATATATATATATATATATATATATATATATATATATATATATATATATATATATATATATATATATATATATATATATATATATATATATATATATATATATATATATATATATATATATATATATATATATAATTTTAAATTTTAAACCAATTACCATCATAAATTCTGTGACATTAGATTGTAAATTTTAAACTATTGATATGATATGCCTAAATAATTTATTCTTATTGGTTAACTATGTAAAATTATTTTATACAATGCATAATCATTAAACTAAAAAAATTTACCTTAATTATATTAATTGTATTGTTGTTATAGTGTGAGTTGATGCGTTTGATTTGTTAAAAAATGAGATATAGGATATGAGAACTTTTAAATTATGGAATAACTTTTTGTCCGAAGCATAAATTATCAAAACAGTAGAATAAAAAAATTTATTTCTTCATTTTTTTTCTTCTTTACTATTTAATATTTTGATTTATATGGTGCATATATATAAGTAAAATCGAGAAAACAATTGTCCAATGCATTAATCATTAAACATAATGCAATACAAAAAATTATCTCGTAATGTTTTAATATTATTCTGTCTAATACTTCTTATTTTGCAAATCAAACGCCCATGTATTCTCTTTGTTTATTGTGTGATTTTTTATTTATTATGTGTAACTTGAGTTTCACCATTTTTTTCAACAATTATTTTAAACATATTGATGTCATTTAATTTCGTTTTCATATTGGAGTGAGAGTTAAAACAAAGTGTTTTCTTCTTTGCCTTCACTTATAAAATCGGTGAAAATAGATTATATATATGAAGTGGATTACAAGGGTGCAAAGAGTATAATAATAGTAAATGGTGAATTATGTATTAATTTACAGAAACTGTCACCAAAGAAAAACACGTTTAAAAGAAGAGATTATCTGAAGTTAGGTGGCTAGAACTTAGGATTCCGATCGATCGATCGATCCAACTAATGGTAAATTTAAAATTAAAAAAAAAATCAGGGTAAATGCCAAACAGTCATAGTCAGCATTTGCCAATTTTGGTGGGTTTCTTTCATTCAAGTGACGACAAAAACCCCTTTGTGGTTATTCCATGCACAAGTAGTTCTATATGTCGTTTTTGGTGGGGTGGAATTTCACGTGAGGGCATCATTCAAGTTCTCTGTAATATTATTTTGATTTTGAACTCAGAGGTAAAAATCATGATGTGGAATGAAAGTTCCTAAAATTAAAGTAGAGTAAAAAAAGAAATGTTTTAAAGAATGTTTTAGGTGTAAAAATGTCAAAATTTGAGAAAAATGTAAGAAAGTTAAAAAATAAATAAAAAAGGAGGTGACTGAAGCAAGAATGATCACCAAACTCTTACGATATTATGAGGTTAGAGTAAATGTTAGATGGATGGAAGATAAACACTTTAGTTTTAATCTATAAGAACAATGAGACATATAAAATTGTACAATATCAAAAAGAAAAAATAATAAGAAAAGAGATTGAACAAATACTAGAAAAAGAGACTGAATTAATAAAATTCAATTTGATTTTATGTTTGAGAGGTTGATCATAAGAGTAATTTATTTGTTATAACATGTGATTGAGCGATATCAAAAAAATAATAAGACTTGCACTTAAAGTATTATCAGATAAATTATGGTAAATTATGTTTGAGTAAATTATGTTTTTTTTTTTAAACTGACACTCAAGAAAATCAAGTTTAAAAGAAGAGATTATCTGAAGGGAGGTAGGAGTGTTTATTAGTTTGAGTAAATCTAAATTAAACTGGAATTTAAATTAAATCATAATGTTTGGATTAGATTTTTTTTTTAATTCGGACAAAAATTGAATTAAATTAATTAAATCAGATATTAATTAGTTTGGACAATAGATTTTCAAAATTCTATCCATAAGCTCGTGTACTCAAATCAATCATATTAATTTATATAATTTAGATCATTATTATCACTGAAACTAGTATAAGATATACATTTTCAAGAAAAAGAAAAAATATAACACCATTTGACATTAACAATATATATGAACAAACGAAAAAAAAATTAAGAATTCTATATTATTATGAAAAATTAGTTGATGTAAATTATATTTGATTAAAAATATTTTTACATATTTATTTTAATCAGTTATTTCTCGATTACGTTCGGTTGAAATTTTATTAAATAAATATGAAAATCTAATCTAAACTAATCTATATATTTTTAATCGATTTGAATGTGGGATTCTCTCAACCAAACTAACCCGCAAACACCTCTCAAGATAGCTGGCTAGAACCTAAGATTTCTATATTGCTTAACTCTAAGGCTGTAAATAAAAAGAATGAAAAGAACAAGACAGTAGTCCAAGGTTTGATTGATTGCTTTCATTCAAGTGACAACAAAATCTCTTCGTGGTCCATCCATATATGTCATTTTTGGTGGGGTCAAAATAGATAAGATCATCATCCATATTCCCTCTAATATTGTTTGAACTTCAGCTGAGATTTTCCATCAATAATTAATAACCGACATAAAATATCTAAATAAAAATTACTTTTTTTTTCCAACCTCAAAATCACTTTTTATCATAGATTCTCTTCACTCAAAATAATCTTACTCGGGACATTGTTCCGTTAAGCCAGCTTAATTAGTAACCGTACAAAAATACAAAATTAAACTCGCGACATTTCACTTATTCATTTAAAAATCATACTGATTCAAACTAACATCATACTGATTCAAACTAACGTATAATGTCAAGTTCTGGGAATACTATTAAATATCAAATACAAACTTAGTCCAACCATGTAAACAAACTATCATATTTCCTTAGTCCAAGTACAAACCAACAACAACAAACATAACATTACATTAATTAGCTGATATGGGTGCATAGTCATCAGTAGCTGGTGGAGCTTGAGATATGGCAGATAATACAACAAAAGTACCAAATAAGATTGTGATTATTGCAGTGAAGTTGACAAGTAAAGCCTCAGAACCATATTTTGCAACTCCTGAACTCTCCAAGAATGTGAGCTTTTCCAGAAACCCAAGAGAAGCAGTGGCAAGAGCTAAAATATACACAAACAGCCCAAATAATACATGCCATGGAACTGACTCACGTCTTATCTCTGAACTCCCACCAGGGTAGAAAAATACCACAAACCCAAATATCCACTACATGTATAAAAATTACAATGTTAGAAAAATTTGAAGGTAAATAATGCATTCTAATTCTAATACACACAATAATCAATACTTAGCAGCATGATATCAAATCAAAGGATTCACTTGGATAAGCCAGGTCTGGATTAAGAAAATAAGTCCTGAGTCCGTTATTTGTTATTCTGATAAACAAAACTCTAATAAACATAATATATCATAACGACGGTAGAGAGAGCAACAGGGTCAGTGAAATCAAGTTTTTATGACTTATGGTTTCTCCTTGCCAACCGTTTTTGGTTATAGATGCGTGTTTTGCTGAAAGGAAGGAAGTGCAAACAAATATGAAGAATAGTTGAACCGATACAATAAAAAAATTATAGTGTAATTATAGCCATTGGTTTGGTTCATCGGTTCCTAAAAACTACAATTGAAAAACCAAACCACATTGATTTTCATTGATTCGGTTTGGTTTTAAAATCGAACCAGAAACAATTGATTTTATTTCAGTTTGATTTGAATTATCGATTTAATTAATTTTTTTTATCCGCTTACACCCCTAATAGCATGTAGCTTATTATATAAATTTAAGTCTAGGTTTGTCAATAGTACTACAACAGAAAAATAAAGAGTAACAAAGTGAGTTTCAATTTATCATAAATTTAATCTTTTTTTTATTAAATATATATATTTCTTCATACAATTAATTGTTCATATTGCATTATTTTCTAGTTTAACTTTAGTAGGCTTGTATTTCATATAATTAAAAGTTAAATTTCTGTTGCAATTCTAACGTAGCCTGATAAATTAATTATATGAAGAAATATATTTGTCTAAAAAAGAAAGATTAAATTTCTAATAAAATGAAACTAGTTTTGTTAATAGTCTTTATTTTTCTATTGTCGTACTTGTGACAAACCTAGATTTAGATTCATATACTAAGTTACATACTATAAACTGAGAGTGAATAAAATAAGTTTAGTATTATTCAAAAGTTAAATTTTCTTCTTGGCATTTACATTTTTTTTCATATAAATTTATTGTTCGAGCTACTTTATTTTTTGTTCAACTTTAACGAGGTTGTATTTTATATCATAGTTAGAAAGCTAATTTCTGCTCCAGATCCAACTATTGGTATCAGAGTTAATTGTTAAAATATTAGAGTGATAAAATTTTATTTTGTGAAGATAATGATTTCGAGTAGTGAAACCAATCAAGGTTGAGAAATATGAAATAGAGAAATTTAGTGGAAAATATGATTTTTTTTCTATTGGAGAATGCAAATGAAAATTTTGCTTATTTCATAAAAGCACAAAGTTTTGGCCGGGAAAGAACAAAAACCTGGGGTATGAAAGATAAGGATCGGGAATAACTAGATCTTGAAATAACGACAGACATAATCTTATGATGTTGCATTCTTGGTCAATGAAGAAGCAACGAAAGCTGGCGGTGGGCAAACTTAGAGTCAAACTTCATGATGAATACTCTAACAAATCGGATCTATCTGAAATTCAAACGGTATACGTGCAAGATGGAAGAAGCACTTTAATCCGTGATTATATCAAACTAAAAGAATGTAGATGTGAAGGTAGATGAGGAAAATCAAACACTCGTGTTACTACTTTCATTGCCAAAGTCCTATAAAAATCTAGTTCAAACATTTCTGCTTGTAGGTGATACTCTAATCATGAAAGAGACTTGAACGTCACGTTAAGCGGATGACCTTTAGAGGTTGTTACAAGTGGAATATAGATGTGAAGGTAGACGAGGAAGACTAAACACTCATGCTATTACTTTCACCGCCAAAGTCCTATGAAAATTTAGTTCAAAATTTGATACTTGTAGGTGATACTCTAACCAAGGACGAAAATAAAATGCCACGTTTAGCGGATGACCTTCGGGAGGAATGTTATCCACTAAGGGATGAGAAGAAGCTCAAGGATTGTTTTGCAGCCATTGCAGCCTATGGCAAAAACATAGTGGACGTAACCGACGTTGCAGTCAGGACTATCTTAAATTTTTAGAGGTCGAGGCTATGTGGTATCCTGCCTAGCATGCTCTTAAAAATGATCCTGATTAGGCATTGCAGCCTATGACAGCTGACATAGAATCCGGCACGTCTCAGCATTGTGGCGTCTATTTGACAACACCAATGCATTCACAGTAAACAGGAACCACAACTTTACCATAATCATATGAAGAAAAGTAGAATACTAGTACTATTCAATGGTTTACCTGAATGCCATAAAAGGAAATAACCCCAATTCCAAGCCATGAATGCAAGCTGTACAGATTGGCAATCCCACTTTCATTATGATTCTTGAACGCGGCTAGAATTCCAATTATTCCAAGTATTAACGCAATCGCGTGGAGAACAAGGTGTATCAGTTTCTTCACTTCCTTCTTCAATGGAAGAGATTTGTAACTTATAATTGCTGCAATTAGTTTTTATGAAACAATTTGTAGGTCAATGTCATTGACTTATAAAGCAGTAACAAAGTGAAAAGTGCACCTCTATTTTATTTACCTTCACCTCCAAATATTATTAAGCCAATAAGCATAAGAACAGGATGAAGCTGGATAAAGAAAAAGATACACAAGATAAGAGATTTAAAAAAATGATAAAGTATTAACAATACTCATTACTCAACAATAAATGCTTTTAGGATAACAGAAGTGACTAATATCATATAATATAATTAATCAACTTGCCTAATAAAGCACTATTATTGATACATTTCTTTGACTTTATGATCCATGATAACAGATCATGATTAATTGATTATTTAAATTTGAAGGGCTAGATCTCTGAATATCACCTTTTTTTTTTAAATAATTGTAAACCAGCTAATCAAAATTAGCATATTAATTTGAATCCAAATAGGTATGGTCAATAGCTTACAGGACAAGCCACTACAGATTTTCAAACACAAATGATCTTTAACTAGAAAATTAGCAAAGTATTCACTACCTTAATTAACATCAATGTGAATAGATAATTCAAAGGCAAATGATAGCACTAGTGAACAACCTACCAAAAACATATGAGTTCCTGATACAGACACCGGACACGACATCAACACTATCACGTCGATACCAATAATAATTTGATAAAATAGATATATTAAACGTAATTAAAAATGACAGTATCTTATTAGTGTTTGATATTAACAGGGACGGATACACATTTTTGCAAAGGTGCTCAGTAAGGCCAAAATAAAGGTAAAAAAATATGACAAGAGGACATCATGAAAAAAGCAAAAGGGATCGGATAGTACAATGATGCAAACGAATTTTAATATATAAAAACAATATCCGAATATTTAATTTATCACAAGTGGTAACAACAACCTTATGAAAAGCATCTACAATGAGTCTCATACATTTAAATATATCCTACCAATTTTTTTATATAATTACATTTAAACATATATTTATTCATGGCGCGAGTTCCACGAGATTTTACTTGTTCACTTTAGCATGTGGAGATACAAATTCAATTAATGAACCACTACCAAAATAATTCAATCAAAGTTTTCTACGTGATTATATTATTAAAAAATGAGAACCAAACATACACGTAAAGTAGAGTACAAAACTTATACCAACCACAAATATAAATTTCAACCAATATCAAAAACCAAATATATTTCTCCTTTATAAAGTTGATATTTCACATTAATTAAGAAAATTCAAACTTTTATATATCTTTTAAAAATAGTTTTAATAAGTTATTATTTATAAATAGAGAAAAAAAAAAGTAAATTATATATAATTTATATTTAATTTATATTTAATTTAATTTTAAAAAATAAAACTTATAAAATAAAATAAAATTGACATTTTTCCTTATAATTTGTAATAAGAAATATGCTTACTTTTTCTTTATAAATAGTTAAGGAACGAGTATAAATTTTACAAATAATCATGGTAAATGTGAAATCATTATTTTTATTATTTGGCATATATGATTATTAGACATGTAATTTTGTTTTCGTTAAAAGTGTATATGAATTAAAAATAAACAAAATTTATATTCCAATAAAATCAAAATTGTACCATAAAAAAAACTTAAATTTAATCATTAATTAAAATTTATTTAAATAAACTAATATATAAGATTTTCTATTAATTAATAATATTTTTGTACTCATCCGTTAATGATAGTTTTTCTACTCATCAATCAATGATATTAACCCCACTTTTAATGCGAATAAACCCCATTTATTACTCTCTCTCTCTTGTCACTTATAAATTTTTTATCTAGAATAGTACTAGTAGTTTAGAAAAGTCTGGAAATAGCTTTGATTTCAAAGATTCTCCACCTTTAACATCAAAATGCAGCAAACAAAAAAAATGAAAGAAAAAAAAAACTGAAGCACTCTTTAATATAAGAGCAGATTAGGCCTCCCCAAACTAAAAGAGTGGACCATAATTCAAAAGATAAGTACTCTTTAATTCGTAGTTAATTATTTTTAGTAATTTAATTTCAGTGCATAACCTACCTACTCCCCCGGAAAGTTGAAAAAAATGGATGGCGATAATTAAAATTAACAATTAACAATCAATTTTCCAGAAACAAAACCGCAAAAAAAATGGAATTGATAAGAAAAAAGAGAAAGAAACATTACATTGAAGATGAGAGCTTTGTTGTGAGAACTCCAAGCCAACCCACCTCTGAAGTGTATATTCCAGACCAAAACCAACACGGCGGCGACAACACCAAGAACATGAACAACGTACGTGAACGGAACAGCGGGTACACCCAGCGCCATCGTCTAACGTTATTAGTGTTTGTTCGTGTGAACGTGCTGTTGTTGTTGTTGTTGGGATTTATATGAAGAAAAAGGCACGCGAGAGACACGAGTTTCGTCGATGTAGTTGTTAAGATATATACGGTGTGTGGACTTACAGGTCATTAACTACCCTTATCTAAAGTTCTGGCCAAACGATTATTACAGAAATGTTTTGTTTTCTAACTAGATGTTGCCACGTTGCGTTTTCTAGTACCACTCTTTCTGGAGCCGTGGATTAAGTTTAGTGGGTCCATATTTAAAACTAATTTTTTAAATTTTTTAAATCACAAAACATATATAAAAAAAAAGTATGCAGTAACATGTAAAGTATATGTATTCCATCAAATAATATTTTTTAAATCATCTATTTCAACTATTTTATTTATTTACTATTTCTTTATAATCAGAACTCTCATAAATTTTCAATTATTTTTAATGGATTTTTCGTCTTCAAATCAAGTTTTAAGTGTTTGACTATAATAAAGAGAGCATGTAAAACTGTAATTTGAGATAAATTTTTATTATTTTATTATACATTTCCTGCATTCAAGTTGATTTATTGAAGAAGAAAATAACGTCACTTCGGATATGCGCTTCTGAATTCAACCTACCATAATTTAGATGTGCATATCTGAAACAATGTTTGTTACAAAATCAGAATTATGTTTTAACAGAATTCATGTTTTTTTAACATGTTGGGTATGGTGCACCTTGATAATATTATCAAAGCTCTCGTAAAGGTTTCGAACAAGGTCAATGAAGATGATAAGCTGATTGTGGTGAAGGACGTTGATAAAACGAATGATGTTGTGATAAATTAGGACAACAATTTCAAAATGATAAAAGTTTCACCTCTCGTCAACATATACTTGAATGGATTTGAATGAAAGCTAGCAAACTTGGATTGACGTTGTGATTAAAAGGTCTGACAACGAGACTAGTCAATGGCAATCATTTGTTGTGATGACATGCGAGAGAATTGGGAAATATATTTTTAAAATTTGGAAGATAAAACATGGTGACACGGGATCGAGGAAATGTAAGTGTCCGTTTAAATTGCGCGGTTATTGTAAGGTGGATGATTTATGGCGGTATAATGTCATGTCTGATATGCATAATCATGCGTTGGACACCAAACTACACAGGTATCCAATTGCATGTCAACTTAAGACTGCATAGAAGGAATTTATTTCCAAACTATCATAGATCAAAGTTGCATCGAAAAACATATTTGTCAGTTTGAAACGAAATAAATCGGAATGTATTTTAAATATCAAATTGGTTTACAATCATCGTTATAAACAACACATTGCACAAAGAGGTCTGAGGTCTGAAATGCAATATTTATTGAAATGTTTGGACGATAACCATTATGTTTCAAGGTACAAAGTTTGTGATGACAAAGTCAGTATTCGTGACATTTTTTGAACTCATCCAAAAAGTATTAATTTGTTCAACACATTTCCAACCGTCCCTATGATTGATTCGACATACAAGACTAACAAGTATAGGCTCCAGCTTCTAGAAATTATTGGTCACATCTACAAACAAGACATTTTCGGTTGGGTTTGGATTTTTAGAATGTGAGAAAGAAGACAATGTCACTTGGGTGTTGGGTATATGCAAGACTTTGTTGAAGGATCCATAAAATATGCCTAAGGTCGTTGTTACGGACCGAGATAACACCTTTATGAATGCAGTTGGCATTGTGTTTCCTTCATCTACTGCAATACTTCGTCGGTATTATATAACAAAAAATGTGAGAGCACGACTCAAACCTGCAGTTGGTGCCAAAGAAAAAATGGTGAAGACGCAAACATGGTAATATTTGGTGTTGTGGTTGAGAAGATAATGGGTGCATGGACTGATATTCTTAACTCTGCTATAGAAGATAACTGGTTTACAACATATCCCCAGCAGGATTAGATTTCATTTTTTATGAGGCGAAACGAGCAGAAATGACAGGGCCAAATAGTTTGAGGTGTGAGTGTACAATTAGGACGACTTACAGGCTTTTATGTGCTTGTGTTATTTCTTAAAAAAATTAAGCTCAATTCTCCCATACATATGGACTCATTGAAAAAAACTCTGATTTGATGACTACGAGCTGGAAAAGGAAGGTAAATCCAACATAACCATCATAATCGAGTTGGAAGTGATAATGGATAGATTTTCTAAAGCGAATGATGCTATGAAGTTGCACATTAAAGAATAGTTGAGAAAAGTTGCCTTTCTGAAAACAACTGATTTGAAACCCCTTTCGCAATCGATAAAAACAAAAGATGTGCCTAAAAAAGCGAAAAGTTTTATGGGTGACAGTTCAACAAAGATGACTCCTTCTTACCATGAAGTTGTTGATTCAATATTCCCAGATTCTCCAATCCCAAAATCCAAAACTCGTGTTAACAAAGGAGCTCGCATTTCCAAACCACCTCGTACACTGTCTATTATAAAATAACCACATCTGCCACCGATTATTTACATTGATGAGATGCCACTTTTTATGCACAAATACATTGAATGAATTATGGGTGTGGGGAGTGATGGTAATTTCAATTATCGTGACGTGTCTAGGTTACTTGGTGATGGAAAGGAAAATCACACTCTTTTGTGCCAAACACTTATTTTAGAGTTGATGGTGCATAGAGAACTCTACACTCGCCTATATGTGACTACATATAAATTTAATAAAGTTCATCATGCGCTTGCTTCAAGTCTTACCGTTTGCACATCAGTTTCTAAGTGGATGAGCTTCCTTAAAATAGGTCATCTTATAGCAAGTGCGTATGAGAGGGTGTGTATTCACTTGACGAGGTATGGATTTTTGGAGACATTTTCTCCTCTTCGGACTCCCCCGCCTAAAGACCCATCCAACCGCATCATGTGTATTGGGTACCTTAGATCACGTCATTTTGTTCAGGTTTAAACCGAGTTGTCATATACCGGCTACATCCTTGAAATGGACGACACATCATGAAAAAGAGGCAGAAACTTGGTCGGATGCGTTTTTGGATAAGATGGTAGAGTTCACCAATTTGATGAAGCTTGAGAGAGAATCAAATAGGGAGAAGTCGAAGAAAGAACCTTTTTTAGATTTAAGCAGTGACAATTCGTTCGGTGTATTTTAGAATGTAATCGAACTATTTTTTAAATGTATTGTCGTACACATTATAAAATTTATATGTTTCAATACATATATAACATATTATCTATCTTTCTTTTTTTACAATTGTTTATTTTTTCATGTCACTTTGGTACAAATATTGATTATGAGTTCTGGTTCTGCATAATTTGGAAGTGCACTTATGAATTGACCTTAAACTTAAAAAAAACAACACAGGACATATTTTGCATATGGACATCTGAATTCACCTCTTATTTTTATTAATAAAATGTGGTGTTTTCAGATGTGTATTTTTGAAAATCCTTAATTTTGATTAAAAAAGGTTAATTCGGATGTTCATATCCGAATTATATCCTGATAAGATTTCTTTGGTCCATATTGCTATAAAAAGGCTATAAATTGGTTCTTCCATACCATTTCTTTATCACTCACATACCACAACTAGAAATGACACAAACATATTCACACCTTGCTTTTGTCAACTTCAGTGTTGTGCAGTCGCCACTTCAATTCAGGTTCTCGCACGGCACGTCGTTCACCGAGCTCATTACCATACTGCATTCTCTCTTGTAATATCTAGAGAATCGAAAGATGGTCAAGCTTGAGTATTGTTCACCTTCAATTGACTCTGAAGGAAACGTAAAGTTTACCTTGTTTGAGTTCCAGAACGACGATGATTTAGAGGTTATGTGGGGTACCTTTCAATAATACTCTTCTAAGGGTCCGATTGAGATGGATGTGAAGTTTCAAAGATCAGAAGAAAATATTATCAAGATGTTACGACGCCCTCAACTGCTTGTTTATAATAATACGTATCTTTAATTTTCTGCATAACTATTTATGTAACTTCTTTGAATTATGTTGAATAAATGTCATGAATTATGTTGAATAATGTTCTGTCCAAGGATAAATTTGGATATGCATATCTGAAGTAAATTTAACAAATCACGTTGGTGGTTCGTTTGAATATGCACTTCAAAATTCTGAGGATATTTTAAATTTTTCGCCAGAGGTCTGGAAGAAGTATACTAAGTGTAGAAAGAAATTCTCTAATTTTATTGATGATAATCTAAAACTAATTTACAATGACAATACATTATCTTTAATCTCATAAAAAAATTTAAATTTTAAATTACATTCGATCATTAAAACTTTTCATTAGAGTTTTGTTATTAGGTGGTATGTTATTTAACTAAACATGGTTTTTTTAGTTATATAATTCTTTTTAGAAATAAAGTATTCTAAATCTATCTATCTATCTACCTAATCTAAATTTAAGGTCTATTTAATCTAAAATTAAGATCGTAATGATGACAATTTTAGACAAAAAAACTCTAATCTCATATTTATGTGTCATCCTCACAAAATTCTAGTTTATGTGTCATCCTCACCAAATTCTACCAATTAATAAATTTAAAATATTTAAAAAACATATATATTTAAACTATATAATTTTATAATATGTACCAGATTAAAACCATTTTAATTAACAATTTATTTTAAAACAAAATTGTTATGAATTAAATTTAATAATTATAATAATAAATTATATTATTATCTTAATAAGAATTAATGAAAAAACTCATAATTGATAATCAATATTAAGAAAAACTCTCATTTTTCCATATATATTGATTAATATTTTAATATTTCAGATTTAAATTTAATTATTTTAAAATTTTAAAAGAATATATATAATTTTAGAATAAATTTTTTACCTAATTAATTAAATATCCATACGAATATTAAAAAAAGTTTCTCTCTTCTCCCAATTGAAAAAATAATTATTTTAAGTTTAAATTAATAATTTACTTTTAGGTAATATGTAATAATAATAATAATAAATTAAAAGAAT